GTTGTATTAAATGTGTCCGTTATTTTCTGAACTGTCCATGATCTAGGTAAATACCGTCAAGAACTGAAATTTCTCAGTTTTCGTTGTATCTTCTTTCGAAAACTTTTCTGTTAGCTGTTCAATAATTTCATTAAAATCGTCAGTTTTGTTATCATGCATTAAGTGCAAATAAGCCGGCGCCGGTGGTGTTGTGGTAAGCGTGACTGCTCTGACGGGTCTGGGTTCAATCCCAGCCGAGGTCGGTGGGATTTTTCTGAGGCATAAAAATCTCTGGTCACGTCTTCCTTCGGAAGGGAAGTAAAGCCGTTGGTCCCGGCCCATGTGTGTTGTGAATGGGTGCGATATCCTACGCAGGTGTGGAAGCTGCCTTCCTGCACATTCGATTGCCGTCAATGGATGGCAATCGATGTCCGTCGGTGATTGGCACTAGATTGCGGAACAGAGACCGACGTTAAATAAAGGAAAGAAAAAAATTAAGTGCAAATAGGGCACGTAAGCCAGTTTTTGCCCTTGGTCCAGTAATTGACCTTAGTGGATAAATCATTAAAATTATACGATGCTACACAAATATAGATCTCTGAATGATTATAATTTCAAAGAGCAATACATACTTGAGCTGTAGGCAAAAGTTGCAATGTTTTACAATTCAAATTGAAGCGATGGGACTTGTTTGAAGTAATGACTCCGTCATATGAGACAATTCGTTAACCATATGGCTAAAAGTCAGTCTCTTTGATTTAGTGTGTAACAATGGAAATATGGAGCAAATAATTTGATATATCATGTAATTGTTGAGTAAACTATTCAAGTTTTAAACTTGAAAGCAAAAGAAGTCGGTATTTCGCTTTAACTACGGCCAAAAACTGGACCATCGGATCATAGTGTGCGCTAATTGGCACTAGTGTGATAGCGAGCCTTTGACAGCGTTTATTGTTGGTTTTTGCCTGGGACGGGACTTGACAAACGGGTAGCGATTTCGAGCCAATTTGCTGTCAAATCCGAGCCAGTTTCTGATTGGTCGATTTGAAAGTAGCAATCGTGGAATAAAAAGGACAGAGGGATCGCATCAACCTGGCTAACAGTGATGCCGTAATCAATGTTAACGTCAACGGCGTTGTTAATTGTTTATATTTGCGAAAGGAAAGTTGAAAAAATGAGTGTACTGCGTGTTTTATGCGATGCCAGCCGACATTGTTATTTGTTTATGGTTGTTTTTATTGTGCAGAACAAAAATAATGTACAAGCTGCTAAACTGCGGTAGAAACTCCGAATTAAATCCAAATTAAAATAGAAAAAAAAACATTTTACATTCCTGGCATCATTGGCCAACTCCGTCAAACACCACGCACAACTTTCCGAAGGGCATTCTTCAAAAACATTAAGAAGAGTGAGAAGCTCGATTGTCAAGTCCCGTCCCAGGTTTTTGCTAATAGTTCTTCGATTCGGAATTCCTACTTCCATTTGGATTGGATCGTATTCGAAGGTAAGGAGAAACATTGTTTCATAACTTGACCAGTGTACGAATATGATTTTTTTTTAGTGAAATGGGAAAGACGGCTGAGAAACCCAGGAGTGAAAGGTGCGTAGAAGAGTCAATACAGCTTTGCATCCAACGAATAAAAGATGGAATGTCCCGCCACACAGCATGTAAAACGTATGGTGTTCCGGTATCAACAATCCGGTATAGGATGAGCGGCAAGTGGAAGAATTAAATCACCCGGGGACCACGATCGGTACTGACGGATTCAGAGGAGAAGAAAATCATTCAGTGGTTAACCAACATGCAGGAAAGGGGGTTTCCGGTCTCACAAGCAACTTTAAAATTCAAAGTGAACGAATTCATTGTGCAAGACTCTCGGAAAACACCTTTCAAGGATGGTCAACCAGGTAAGCAGCAGGTCATCTTGGGTAATGAGTTACAAAGTGACATCAAATTATGGTCTTAGGGCGAAAATGGTTCAAATCGTTCATGCGCAGAAATCCTGGGTTTTCTTTGCGCACACCGGAATCTATAACAACTGCCAGTGACCGTGTAAGTGAAGGTGACATCCGAGGATGGTTTAACATGACAAAGGATTGGATAGAGAAGAACGATGTCTCAGAGATACTGCTAGATGCTTCTAGGGTATGGAAAAGTGATGAGACGTCGTTTAACCTTCACGCAAAAACTAGAGAAGTGATCGCTCGAAAAGGATCTAGAAACGTTTACGAAGTGGAGCAGGCTGCAGGAAAACAAAATTTTACTGTAATGTTCTCCTTTAGCGCGGCAGGTGCAGTTGTGATTCCGCAGGTAATTTTACCTGGACAGCGAGTACGAAAAGAGGTCGCTGAAGGATTTCCACCTGACTGGCTTATTGGGGTCAGCGAACGTGGTTGGATTTTTTTTTTTTTTTATATCTTTATTAAGGAGACTTTCAGCCGTTGGCTGGCTCGTCTCCGAAAAACGTGGTTGGAAGACTGCTCATACCTTTTCCGAGTACATAAGAAAAGACTTTCAACCTTTTCTTGTCAAAGAAAATGTACAGTTCCCAGGGATATTATATGTGCACGGTCACATTTCCCATAAGGCCCTGGAAGTGGTGGATTTATGCCAATCGTTGGGTATTATATTAATTACATTGTATCCAAATACTACCCACATTACGCAACCGTGCGATGTTGCCATTTTTAAGCCACTTAAAGATAAATGGAGGCAGGTTGTGGAGGAATGGCGGTTGGCACACTATGGTGAAGTATTCACGTTGCCACATTTTGGCAAAGCGTTGGCTAAGGCTGTAGAAGATCGAATCAAGCCACAGAGCATTATTAACGGCTTCCGCGTTTGTGGGTTGCATCCTTTCAATCCGGACAAAGTAGATTACTCGAAATGCTTAGCTCAAAAGGTAAATGTTCCAACTGTAGTGGAAGTAGCAGAGACCATCGATACAGCTACCCAGCTAACATTTGGGTTGCTATATTGAAGTTACAAATAGATAATACATAATGATATACCTTCACAGAAGCCGTATATATTGCACTTAAAACCTATATACGTACTAGTTTGGAGGCCATATACGTGTATTAATGTTGATTATGGCGATATTCTTTGGCATGTTATACGTTTGAAGTAAAATTGTTGTTTGATTTCGCCGATTTTTTCCAAAGAAACATACGATTCATTTTAGTTTGTCATACGATATACTTTACATTAAAACGATTAGAAGATTCTAATATTATTCTACTATAATGACTCTAGAATGATTTCTTGTAACAGTATGCGACTTTCAGAGTAGCATCATTAATAAATTAATAAAAAAAAACATATCTATTCATTAACTCCGAAATTACAAATTATGTTTATTATGCATCATAAGCCACATTGTATTATAATTATAGTTTCCATAATCATTTTTTAATTCTTTAGACATTATCTGCCTCAATTGGGATTCGAACCCTCGATGATTGCATTGAGAGTTGCGTTACTATTGCACTACACCAGTTGGTGTACGATTAAACCAGTGATTTTGTATGTTTTCACATCAAACAGAGAATCAATACATACTATGTATTCTATTTTTATACTTTCGATTTTTGTTTCACATATAAACGACATTATTATCACCAAAGTCGTATGACTGTACAGATGCACGATACCATATGACCCATAATATGATTGCATTAACCGGTACACCGACTCACAATGTGATATACGACTATTTTGACTTTCTGCGAAGTGTGGTGATTTTGAATGCCGTAATATACGATTTAATTTATTTTATCGCTTCTACGGCGTACAGTGTTGCAGATTTATTTTATTTGGGTTTTAGATTATAAAAAAAATATGTATGGAATATTTATGCTTTTATTCATGTATATTTTTTCAAGCCAGTACATGTATGCCTAAATGGAAAATATTTGCTGATATCAGTATTAGTAAAATCTTTGTTTGTTAAATGTTTTTCAAACATTTTCCCAATGTAATGCTATGCAAATTTATTTGCCTAATACGCAGCAAGGCAAATCTATTTTGTTGAAGAAAAAACTAAAATTTATAGCGAATTTGTTTGTTATCCAGTTCCAACCTGGATCGGGTAGGGTCTGCTTGTTTTCTAGCAAACGTCAGTTTGATCGTTTGTTTTTATAACGTGGCACGGGTCGAGGTTCGAACTGTCAAAAAGTTCGGGTTCGCACTGCGAACAAACAAATTCACGATTAATAATGATTTTGTAAAAAAAAACGGTTTTGGTGATCTAGTGTTCTTGGCATCACTGCTAACGCCAAGCAAACCAAAACAAAATACGCCCCGCAATCGATGTTGTGTTCCTGTTTAGTAGTGACGAGAGAACGACAAAATAAATCAGATTAAAAATGTTCGCGGTTGTACAATTTATTGAAAATAAAAAGTTTCAAGTGCTGGCGGTACCGGTGTCTTGGATTAAGAATGGAAACTTGATGTGGCCAAAAATAACCAACGAGAAAATAGAGGCATTGCGTGTAATTGGAGCGGAGTTCAACGGTGCTGCCAAGCGTATTCCGGTTATTGTTTGGAAAAAAGTTCGTAATTTCCAAGCGGCAGAGAAAGCTGCAGATGAGCTGGCCAAGAGAGAAGTCTCGGACGTAGAGGGAAAAAAGAAAAAACTGAAACCGCAGAAGAAACCAATGAAGAAACAAAACAAAGATTACAATGCCATGTTTGCAGGTAGATTCAATCATATCTTGAAAACGAATGATATTTACCATCCCTTCAAACAGCTATTCAAGAAGCACCGAGCAAAAGTCAGGAACTTCGTTGTCCAACGCTATCGGAAGACGTCGCATCCGCTAATCCAGTCTGTCAACCAAGCGGCAGTGAAATCCAGGAGACCACAGAACCTACACGGATGGAAATGACATTTTCTTCGCAGCCCCAGAATTTTCAACTGCAGCAAGCACAGCCGATGGTTATTAGACAAATGATTCCGTCAACACCTGTGATGAAACCAATGCCGATGATACAACCCCCTCGTTCAGTGATGCCACAAATGGCACCACCAGAATCTCAAATGCTAAGTGGAGAAACTTCCAATACAGTGATCATTGGTGAGTAAATAAGGCAAACGTTTCGAAATGGCGTATTGCGAGTATGATTCGATGAAATTACTGCATTTAGTTAGTCTTTAACTCTTACTAAACTAATACGGTTGGGCTAAAAATATACCGCAGTTCCTCGCTAGATTTTTTAGCAACTGGATGCATGACATTTTTGCCTAGAATGTTAATTAAAATTAAAAAATAATATATTTTTAAGGAATGTACACAAGCTACGAAAACATTATCTAGGGAACGATGTCAAGCTTGAATTATGAGTTCTACATAAACTTTCATAACAAATCTACGTATTTGTGGTTTCAGAAACGTTGCCTACAGATTCAGAGCCGATGTATTGTACAGGAGACGAATTTTACTTCGTATCGGATGCTATGACGGATCAAGCAACAACCATGGATAATCATATTATAACAGGTAAAGGAGAATTAATAAGATTATAAGTAAGGAGTCATGCATAAATTACGTCATTTTTATTTTACCATTACGTTGAAATAATCAATGATAAACGTACAAAGAAGGAGCTAGCATTCACTAAATTCTATTTTATCATTATTATTACAGGGAATGGGGGAGCTATCAAATACGCGGAGCTCAAGAATGATTTGCAGCAGTTTATTCAAATTACTGTTGAAACTGTCGTGGAGAAATGCTTCGGCGATCATTTTTCTCGATTGGCCGCTCTGACAGAAATGAACGCCAAAGATTCCACTAAGCTAGTTTCAGACGTAGCCAACGACCCGGTTGAGAATCACATGCGTATTGATAACGAAGTTCAACTGCACGATTGGAATGTTAAGTTGGGAAACGAAGATCTCTGCAAGAAATATGTAATGAATTCAATTTTTTTAATTAAATTTCATTTCTAATTTTATTTTTTACAGCTCGTATACTTTACACGGATCATTCCACCGAACTCGTACAGTGACAATGGAGACAATGCATGCTATACGATCGTGGATTGTTTGTTTACGAGGGAATTTTGGACCCGCTTCACCTGGACCGGTATCAGTCGTGGGCAAAAGTCAAAACGAGGCTTCAGAGAATTCGGCAATGTTTTGCAGCTGTTGGTGAAAATTGTATGTATTGGAGATCCAACATACAGTCAACAGAAATTAGAGGCTTTCTGTAGAAACCGCCTATTTCGATATAGTAAGTCTCGTAGCACAAGTAAGCAGTTGCGTAAGTCTGCATGTCGTCCGGCACGCAAACAGAAAAGGATTAAGAGACCGCTTCAAGATGATGAAACTGTAACCAACATCAAACGAGAAGATCCTCTTAATCTAGACCAAACCGACAGTGCTGAAGAAAATGAGCAAGATGCTCAGAATGAGGCAATGGACCCAGAAGCAAATGAAGCTGACACTGAACACGAAGACGACAATGAGATGAGCATGAGTTCAAATGACAACTCATTTGATTAATTAATATGCACTGTTCATGCTTCCTTGCATTCATAGATTTTCGAACAGATATGCTATTTTTTGTTTGTTCTAACAATGGTTGAATTTGATAATAAAGAATCATTCGTGTGTTTTTATTAAAGGAAAAATCCAAAACATAAAACTTATTTATTAAACAATTGTATGTATAAGTGGAACAAATACCACACCTTCAACTCTAGGGATTGCAACTAATTTGCAAAAAATGCAGTCGACATCAATAGTCCGTTTTTCTAAAAATGTAAGTTCTGCTATGTATACGTGTAGATAGGATGATCTGAATGGTTTTTCGAAATAGTTCGTTATAGATGAAATAATTTTTCCTTCAACAAAATATCCTAATTTAGTTTTACTCATTTTTGAAAATTCCATTATTTCTTGATCATTAGTTAATATCCACTTATCTTTGAAATTGGTAGAGAGTATAAATTGTGGTAAAACCAACTTGTTTTCGTTTGACTTTTTATCGTCTACAAATTTCTGTCGCACAGTGGCATTATCAGATGACTTATACTGCTGAAGGACACTGAATGACTCATATATTTGCATGCTTTCTGTTACACGAGCTGCTACCTGAGCTAATGGATTAGGACCTGTTTGAATCATTTTTTTCAATGAATGCAAGCAATTTTCAAATGGATATGCAGAAAGCGTTGATAGAGGACCGAACTTTGCAACCTCGTCTACTACGTGGCATAAATTATGTATGTTACTTGTCATGAATTCAACACCGTACAATGATTTGAATTGGATCAAAAAATCGTTAAACAGCGATCGTGCAATTTCCAATAAGTTTGAATATCTACTAACAGAGCAAATACGAACGGCACAAAAAAGGATAAGAAAGTGGGTGAAATATTTGTCAGGTAAATAATCCTTTAGTATGACTATGCCAGCATAATTCAAAAAGTTTCGATACTCTAATCCTTTCCATAGAGAAACAAAATCCAACGACCTCATTCTTCTATGAATTTCCATGGGAAACCGCACACAAATCAACAGATTTGAAATCTGCCTCTTTTCAAATGTGCTCCATTTTGCGTTCATCGACATACAGCCAGTTCTCCATCCATTAAGCAGTTTCTTCATGACTCCCAACTCCAACAGGTGCAACGAATCAGCAACAATAATATCCTCAATCATATCAATTGGAAGTCTAGTAAGAGGCGTACCACAACGTTGATGATTGAAGTATTCCTTTGCTCTAAAAGATGCATCTGATCGTTTGAACGCATTGATATCAGGAAACACCATTGTTCTTGATATTTGTGAATAAGTGCCTTTAGTGGTACATTTGATGCAACCGTATTTGCCATTGAAATTGATCACACCTTTGATAAATGCACGTGCAGGTGTATCACAGATAAAACATCGTATTTTTATCAAAACATGGTTACCATCTATTTCCAAGCCAGATTCCAGTAATTGGAGCAACTCTTCTACGAAGGGATTCAAATACTCAGAGGCGTCTTTGGGTTTGCTAGTACCATAGAAAATTCCGATGATGAGCGGCTTAATATCAGGGAGTTCCTGAATATTGAACAGTATAGGCCACAAATTTTTCGTTGAGCTCTTGTAAATCGGAAGGCCATCAATATTAATATTAATTGAAATTATCAGTGGATTTGTTAAATGTTTTAAAACGGATTTTAAGCAAAATTCCAGACCGTTGTGCCAATACCAACCGCCATCTTCAATTTGGTTTATATTTAAATTCCGGGGAGTTGCCATTAAGGTTCGCGGATCTTTTGGAAGGTTCAGGTGCAGGATTTCATTCAACATTGTAGTGAGGGATTGTAAAGCTGAGTGTGATATTTGAAAGCTCGTAGCCCATTTTCTAATGGAACTTATAAGGTCTGCTTTTTGGTCTAAAATAATAACAAAATAAAAGCTTAGGTTTATAATTATTTTGTGTTTTCATTTTACCTTTTTGTTCTGCATAACCTGTGCGAGAAATTGTTGGATTCATATTCTGATCCACTATTACAGCATCTTCCAAAACAGTTGAGGTTTGTTCAGAATATGCATTCTGATCCACCACAAAAGTGTCATCGGAAAGGGGATAGGTTTCTCGATTTTTATAACGTTTGTAACTTTGACTATACTTTTTCCGAAGGCGACTGTATGTTCCACTCTTTCTCATAATTTTCAATCTAGTTTTCAATAAAAACTGCTTCATTTTAAATACTTTTATTGCTTGTTCGCAGCTGTAACAAGAAACGATTAGTCAAATGATAACATTGATTCAATGTACACAATTGGGATTCCATTTAACTCTTCGTACGATTTTCCATCATAAAACATACGATTTATTTTAATAACATACCCAAAACTATATATCAATCATAATGTTGCAACACATACGAGTAATGCGACAAATTACGACTTTTCAAATAGATTAATACGATGTTATATACTGAATCGTATCTTAATCACAGTTATTCATGAAATACAGTTTTAAATATACATAAACCGATTTATGGTGCTAACATATACGAATCTGGCTAAAAATATACAGCTTAACGATTTTTTCTATGCAATTATATACGATATCTGGTTGGCTGGGTACTCATGATGTCGATATAGATACTACCTGTCTCGATTGCCACGGCCTTATGGATGCAACAGAGCCAAATCCACCAACGCAGGACAATATGGATCTGCCAAGAGTGCTACAAGCTATTCCTCCGCAATCAACATCACCATCATCGTCCAAGCATTTCCCCGTTCCTGTAGATGACATCATTCAAGCAGTTGACATGATTGGTTGTCAGACAATGCAAAATATACAAGGCGATGTATCTAATCTTACTCGAGAGGAACGTATCATTCGATTCTTTTTTCTCAAGTTCGTACAACCGAATATTAGGGTAACCAACTGATTTTGGACCCCTAGAGGAAGTGAGGTCACGTTTATGTCAAAATAATATTATTTGTTTATTATTATTATGCAATTTACATGCGGTTGTGTTCGAAAGCTACTCATCTTGGATGTAAAATGTCACTAGATGTTTTATTTATTGATATATACTCGAAAAATAATTCTTTTCACATCATGATATTCACATATTTTGGACCCTTCCACTTGATTTTGGACAGTGTCCATAATATATTTTGGACACACTGAATGCGAACGAATATATTTTGGACATGCTAAAGTTCTTTCAACCTATGAGCCTAAAATTAATTACGACGGTCACTTCTTCCTATCTCGCATTTGTTAGGTCCGTCTAGGTGGGAAAATTTTCAAAGAAGGTGCCGTAAAACGGGGTGAAATTGATCAGCGGGGTGAATTTGATCGCTGAGTATACCCAATATTGTACTTATGCATAATATTTTTACAATGCATACAAAGATACATTCGTACGCTTAGTAACGAAAAACATGTTACACATGAAAAAATATCACGAGAAATTTCAGCGATCAATTTTGCCCCACTGATCAATTACACCCCGTTTTACGGTATGCATAAAAGTTAACCCCCCGTTACTCGCGCTGTTGTACTTTGTACAACACATATGAGTTTTCCATTGCCATTTTGTTGCTGCCAATCGATCTGAAACCAACTTGTATTCCTCAAAAAACTTGTTTTGAACTAAAAAAGCTAAACTTTGATTACAATTAACCCCCAAAATGCGGATAATAGAGAAAATGTAAATGGAATCCGCGTAAACGGTGTCCATACTACGTGGGATTGACTTAATTGGTTACAACATGGAATATCTCGAGATCCTGACCAGATAGAAAGTAAATGCCTTCAGCAAAGTTGTTCAGGAAGTCAAGCTCTTTTCGTTTTTTGAGTAGTTCAGAAATTTCACACTACGAGGCACTAGTATATACGTGTAATTTTCGCATATACAATAGCTCGAGTTCTTGACCAGCTAGAAAGTTACTGTATTGAGCAAACTTGTTAAGGGGGTCAAAACTTTTCGACTGGTAGACAGTAGTTCGGAATTTTCTCACCACGTGGCGTTTGTATACATATACACTTCTCGCATATGATATATCTCGAGATCCTGACCAAATAGAAAGTTACTGTCTTTGAAAAAGTTGTTCAGGAGGTCAAAGCCTATTGCTTGGTGTAGAATAGTTCAGAATTTTCTCACTATGTAGTTCTAGTATACACGTTAAATTCTCTCATATAAAATATCTAGATAGCATGACAAGATAGAATGTTACTGTCTTGGGCAAAGTTGTTCAGGTGATCAAGGCCTTTTGGCTAGTGGACGGTAGTTCAGAATATTTCACTTCATGGTACTAGTATATACGTGCAATTCTCGCATATGATATATCTCAAGACCTGCTAAAAATGTACTGTAATCGGCAAAGTTGTCCAGGCGATCAAACCCTATCGTTGGTGGAAAGTACATAATTTTCTCACTAGGTGACGTTGAAAGACACGTGAAATCCTTGCATATAAAATATCTCTGAATGACCGGCATACTAGTGCCACGTAAAGGGAAAATTCTGAATTACTGTACACCAACGAAAAGATCCTAACATCCTGAACAACTTTGCCGAAGACAGTAACTTTCTGTCTGGTCAGGATCTAGAGATATTTTATATGCGAGAATTCCTCATGTATACTAGCGTTGCAAAGTGAGAAAACTCTGAACTTAAGTCCACCAGCAAAAAAGCCTTGACTTCCTGAACAACTTTGCCGGAGACAGTAACTTTTTATATGATCAGGATTTCGAGATATTTTATATGAGAATTTCACGTATATACTTGCACCATATAGTGAAAAAATTCTGAACTATAGGCTTTGAACTCCTGAACAACTTTTTCGAAGACAATAACTTTCTATCTGGTCATGATTTCGAGATATATCACATGCGAGAACTTCACATGTATACTAGCGCTATGTAGTGAGTAAATTTTGAACTACTGTCCACCAGCAAAAAGGTTATGATCTCTAGAACTACTTTGGCAAAGACAGTAACTTTCTATCTGGTCAGGATCTCGAGATATTCCATGTTGTA